AGTGACTTTGCGTAGGCTTGCCTGTACCCAGGCCTCCTGGGCTGGCAAGAAGGGTACGCGGACCACGTATGTGGAATCGTGAATCTACTTCATCTGTGGCTCTATAGTTTTTTTTTTTTCCTCCAAGATGGCGAACTGCCATTGATTTCTCTTCTCCACCTATAGAGATTCATCGATATACCGTTATCCCCAGTTACGCAACCTAGCCCTAAAAAGAGGATGGTTTTAGGGTGGTTAAAAGAAAAAAAAATTATCTGGAAGTCGCGGGAGGGGTGACACTTCTCCAAGTCACTCCCTCTTTAGTGATGGTAGTAAAAGAACTAATACGGATTTATGCTTCACCTTGCTTCATATTCGGGTGTCTTGATGGCTTTTGACTTGGTTGCCACACATTTGGGAGATATTCGTCAATCAGCCTCCAGTACTGCTTATTGTTATGCCCATTTCTACGTAAGGCTCTTTAAAATGTTGACTCCAGTATCAAGTACAAGACCATTCCCTTAATTTCGTAGCCCCACACTCCCACTCTCTTCCTATCACACAGCAAAATTCATGTTTCATATCACAGGTACTCAGCATTTTACTACTTGACATGGTTTAACACATTAGTGTAGATTCAGCCCTTGATAGGAGTGCCTTAGGATCTTCTGTCCCGGTGTGGGAGACTACAATTCCTATATGGAATTGACATTCGGTGATCAACTTTTTTTTTCCTGCAGTCTTGTCTTTGTGTGTGAGTTCCCGCTGTCTGGCTAAGAAGATTGCGGGAGTGTGCTTGGAAATGGCTGGGGCCTGCTATGACTTTGCAGTTCTGATGGGGGCGACGCCTTCCTTCTTATTCATGGAATGTTAGAATGCACGTTTTCTCTTTTCCGGTTCTGGTGGCTACCTCACTTTCTTTACCAGTGCCCCTCCATTTTCTCTATAATTTTACTATCGCCGACGGTAGTGCTGGAGACAGAAAGAAAGCTGATTACTGAATGAAAGGGCAAGGCAAGTTGGAGAGAAAGGAGTAGTGGCTAGAAAATAGGAGGGAAATACGAATTTGGAAATGTCCGCCAGTCTGGTGATTGAGATTCATGCTACCAAGGATATTTCAAGCTGCTCTAAGGAGAGAAGTGAGCAGGTTTATCTGGGGAGACTTTTGCAACTTTAAATTTGTTGCAACATGACTAATGTGGCTGAATATGATAGGCAAGCTGTTGGAAGAGCTTATAGCTGAATCTTTACAATTACATAAGCACCTTCAGGCACCACCTGACGTGATATAGTTTATAAATAACTCGTTTTCAGTTTGTACCTAGTGTCAACTGCCAACTATTTAGGGAGACTCTTTGTATGGTTGGTATTGCACTAGCTTTTAGTTAGCAGAACTCACTGTTAAAATGCAAAGGCAGACTAATGTGTTAAGCGTGTAATCATGTAGGAATAGGCAATAACAGAAAATGTTATCTTGATTTTACATCAGCACTGTTCCTTGTATCAAACTCTGAAAGGAATTAACTGCAATTTTTTTTTCTTTGTTTTGGGTGGCCAGCCAGTAGAAATAGATATGATTGTAGGAAAAGACCGGGAAGGTTTCTTTACCAACGGTTTGACTCTTGGTGCAAAGAAGTGTTCAGTGATCAGAGATAGTCTATACGTTGATGGTGACTGCACAATGGATATCCGGACAAAGAGTCAAGGTGGGGAGCCAACATACAATGTTGCTGTTGGCAGAGCTGGTAGAGGTAAGTGAGCTCTTTCTTATTTTGTGTGTGTGTGCCTAAAAGTTGCATGCCATATTACACTTGAGTTTCTTTAATGGTCTGAATTAAAAACTAGTTCATAATGTCTATGAAGGTGTTTTTGTGAACTGCTCAGCACTGAAGGGGAGGTACTGCTTTCAGTCTGTCTACTTTACAGTTTTTACACTCGAAGCCTCACCTCTTTCACCCTGACTTACTCTAAATTATTAATGTCAACTCTTCATCTTCAGCTTTAGTAAATGAAAATGAAAAGTTGCCCCTTAAACAACCCAGTGTCATAATACTGTGGTATATATGATGCTAAACTGTTCAAGACACCTCGTTATTTTGTCTCTAATGAGTCTTGTGGATCTTTCAAGTTTGCTTAGATTTGAAATAAATTCACTGCTCATCATTAAAAATCACATTGGTTAGTTCTTCTGCCAGGAACATTTCTGAAGAAGAGAGAAATAGTTAAATGAGGGTTTTGGAGTACATTCTCCATTTACTGAACTACTTCTAAAGATTTCAATTTGAAAAGTAGGTAACTACATGCAGTTTACATACTTGACCCACAAACTATGGTACTAATCTCCAGACTTGATATAAAAATTCTAGTTTCAACCTGGCAGAAAAAAAATCTAATATTTCAAAAAGAACTTTTAAAATTGAAGTTTACTCTGACAGCTCACTGATACATGAATGTATTTAAATGTATTAACTTGTATAACTGCTTCATTTGGCAAAGTTGGCACATAGAACAGCTCTACAGATAGATGAGCCTACAGTGAGTTATAATTTAATGTTGTGGTTTTATCAACTCCCTGTGGGCATCTGATTCAGGTGTGATTTGCTTATAGGTTTCTGTAAAACAAGATGATTTTAAAACAGACAAATCTTAAGTTTTAGCTGCTTCCAGTTATATAAGGTTTTTTTTTTTTTTCTTAATGCATCAGCTGAAGGATTGGAGATACAGCTCAGTGATTAATAGCAATGACCTGTCTTCTATAGGACTGGGATTCTATTTCCTGTAACCACACAGCAGCTCACAACTGTCTGTAACTACTGTCCCAGGGGCTCTGATGCCCTCTTCTGGCCTTCAAGGACACCAGGTCACACAGTATAGAGATCTGCATGCATATCAAAAAAACACCCATACACATTTTTTTAAAAAAGCATCAACACATATGAAGCCAAATGAAATTTTATACCATAGAACACTGCTGACATCTAGTGGCAGTGAGTATAACATTTGTCACATACCTGTACATATATTTGAGATAGACCTTTGAAGTACAGTACAGAATTAGGTGCTAGAAATAGTAAGCAATTTCTATCTTTTTAGAAAATGTCTAGCAAAGGGAAGCATCAGCATAAGACAAATACCCTTAATGTAGCATTTTCTGACTAGCAGTGGAATTTCTGCTTAAAATTTGTTTTTCATTTTTCTCTGGAAGTAATAGATATGTTTAGTTATATTTATGGTCATACTCATAAAACATTTATCAAGCACATTTATCAAGCATGCTAGATTTGGGGAAAATTTGTAAATGGAAAATATTGAAGTTTTTCAAGTCTATTTTGGGAGAGAAATACTGTATCACCCAGACTAATTTTTCCTGGAATGCAGGGTAAACGATCACTTTTCTCCTAGCTCTTAGAAAGATCCCTTTATGGAACTTCTCTGCTTGGTGGGGTTTTCCAGATGCACCCAATAGTGTGCTCTGATTTTAGTATATATTAGCCTGAAAGCTCCATTCCAGATTTCAGTGCTTCACAGTTCATGGAAAACTAACTTAACGTTAACTTATTAATTGGGGCTCTGTCTACTTAAACTTATGTGATTTTCTTGATTAACACTTCTTTTGAAACACTTTTCTCCTTTTTCTTTCAGTCTTGGTCTTTGTAATGGGAAAAGAAGGGGTCCATGGAGGCGGATTGAATAAGAAGGCATACTCAATGGCAAAATACTTGAGAGACTCTGGGTTCTAGCTGCTAGGCAGACTGTTAAGTATTAGGGGAAAATTGCTCTTAAATTTTCCTAGCTGTAAGCTTAAGTCTTAATTCTGGAAATTTTATTAGCAATGCAGGGTGATGGGATATGAACCTGTGTCTCCTTTGTATCCCTCTGTTGGTGGGGAAAGGTGTCTTTCTTTCTGCTCCTTCCCCTTAAGTAATTGTGTTCACTTTTGTTTTGTTTCCTTGTGTACTCCAGCATTGGTTATAGTCATGGGAAAGGAAGGTGTCCACGGAGGCACACTTAACAAGAAAGCGTATGAACTTGCTTTATACCTGAGGAGGTCTGAGGTGTAAGCAGCCTCTCCCATCTACCTACCAACTGTCTTCATCACCACCCCAATTACCGTCACAGTGCTACCAGATTGTAGATGGTAGCTAGTTTTCCTTTAACTGTTTTCTAATGTCACAATTCCCAAAGGGTCATTTGTATGTTAACCAGTGTGTGTAACCAACCTTTATCTGGCATCATAATTGCAGCACAATAATGATTTGCATGATATCTTGAAATTGGGGAAGGGGGCATGCCGAGTTGGGCATCACTTTGTCTTAGCAATTAATGGGATACTGATTACTAAAATAAGTTAATATTAAGCAAGGTGCCAGTTGTACAATCTCTAATTTGATCAATGTCTTTTCAGCACTTTGAGCATTTACTTGGCTCATTTAGTCTTCCTTTTGTAGCGCATGGTTGGGAGGAAAAAGTGCATGCATCTTTACTTCACTCTTTTTTCATCCCCTCCCTTTGAACATGAGGTATTTGGTTTGCTTCCATTCTCTTTTGTGTAGTGCCTGGTTTATTTAACCTAATTAATACCTCCTTTGTTGATGAGCTATTGAAAGCTGCAGTGATTTGCTTTTAATACTATGATTGCACTTGAGACAGACTATTTGTAGTGTCTGTAGGATATGAAGAGTGCAACTGTCAAGAGCAAAGGCATTTCCTCCCATGACCTTACTACAGTAACCATACTGATCAAATTCCCAGGGACATTCTGTCATTGCAGTAGCTCAGACTTCTTGTCTTTTCTTTGCACACCAGCTCTATTCTTGAGTAAAATTGTAAAAGGCTGCCATTATGGATATTAGGTATCCCAACATAACCATCTGGAGTGTGTCCAGTTTATTTTTCATAGGACCAATTTTTATTTGCAGCTTAGGTTTTTATATGAAGTTGCATTATTGTGGACTTGGCTGTCTTGTGATGTATTTTTTTCATATGTATTCTGTGCCATACTATTGTTAAAATGAACTGTTGCTATTGTGAGATGGATTTTCTTTCGAATGGCACTTCTTTAGGGACATTCTAGTATTTGCTTCTATTGTTTGGGCATTGTGGATAATGTACAGATTTAAAAACAAATCTTGTTGCTGATTTGTCCATTTCTTTCCCTGCACTTTGTTACATCTGGGATACAGTCTAACTCATCTGATTTAATATGCATTTAAAAAAATGCCATAACTATTAAACACCTTGTTTACAGACAGATGAAATAAATTTATTCCAACCAAATACTTTATAGACTCTTGTTTTTATTATAAATTCTAAGTTGTTAGCTTTACTGTTAGTATTAATTTGAGGGTGGGATAGGGTGGGAGGCTTAAACTCAAAATACTCCTGCCTAAGCCTTCATAGTGGTGGCGTGTGTCATTGCACCTGGTTATAGCTGACAAAAGAGAATGTAAGAAATGGGCCAGACTCATCTGTAAGCATATATAAGTATCTATAGCTTTCTTTTCATTAAGCTTTGCTGTACTAAACGTGGCTTTTGGTCATTCATTACATGATCGTCCTCAAACTTACATGAAGAAAACAACCTGCTAGGAAATAAATGTGTTAGGTTGATCTCTTGATGTGAACTCAGTCTCATAAGCACTTAGAGGCCCCGGCAGCAAGAAGAGTTTCTGTGGTATCCATTATTGAGGGTTCTTCTGGATTGAACTGTCAGTGACTTTAGATTGGCAGTCTGCTATCAGCCCGTGAGTCTCATAAAAGCAGAAGCCATTCCTTGGGCAGCACTTAAAGTGAATTGAAACTTTCACATTTTCTGGATTTCAGGGTAACATGTTGACCACAGCTAAGTATTTTAATGCTAGAGTTTCTTAGTTAGGTAAATATTAAAGTTCAAGACTATTGAGACAAATCATTACTCAGCAGTAATGCTCCAGTTGTTCTGAGTGAAAGTGGGCAGCTAGGGTTCTGAGTGAAAGTGGGGACTCCAGGGTTCTGCCCTAGACATGGAGATTACATAGCCTGGATAATCAGTGTTTAGAAATAAGTCAGTGTGGTTTCTATCAACTGACCTGCATCCTACCCTTGAGAAAGAGTAAGTTAGGAAACAGGAGTTAATCTGTTCCATACTTAAGGTATACTGTAAATGATGAATTTTTCTTTGACAAGTTGTTAGGCATGAATTTTGAATATAACTTACATATAAGATGTAAAATAAATAGAAGATAAAATCTGACTCTACTTTGGTACATAAAAATACCCTAGAAATTACAAAAGTTAAAATGTGGTATCAGTCTTTGTCAAGAATAAAGGGTGAGCAAATGAAAATTTAGTGATAAAGTGATGACTTGAGATTTTTGAGCAATCATTCACATACTAATTGTAGTAAACCAAATAATGAAGCCCTTGATTACCAACCAGTAAGTCACAGTGTATGTTGAATGTGTGGTAGAGGGTGATTGTCACACTGAAATAGTAAAAGATTAAGTCATTGCTTCGACAATCCTGTTCTCGATTTGAATAGAAAATATACTTACGGAAATGTATATGGGGTGGGGTGTGTGCGTGTATGCAAATGCCCATTTTGTTACATAAAGAAATGGAGCTATACAGAGTTGCTTATCAAAATGCCCATAACACTTAACAATAACCAAAACTGGAAAACTTGTAGAGCTCGGCAATAAGAATGAGTATGTCCTTGGACAGAACAGTTGTGGATGCTGAATGGTCTAGATAGGCATGCTGCATAGTATGTATGTATAGTTTACACTTGAACTTTGAAGGCAGAAAGTCCAGGAACAGTTATCCTTGGTGACTGTCTTGATTCCCAGTGTTTTATGTTTAGTATTAGAATTTTAAAGTAGACCCTTTAATAGAAAGTGGATACTATTTTATTTTGTGCCATATTGAAAAAACTTAATAGCTATAACCATAAAATTGCAGATTTTAAGTAAATATTGAAAACAAATGCCAGCCCTAGCCAATGTTTTTCAAAGGTGACCTAGAATTACTAATTTATATGTAAGGGCTCCAGGTCCTTGTTCTGAACCATGCGTTAATGACTAAAGGTAGTCACTTTCTTACACATAGCTAGAAACATAGTGACTTTAAACTTTTTTTTAACATACCCCACTTGAGGTGTGATGTTTTTATTATTTTAACAGCTATTTACTATGCATCATTCATTGGTAGACAGTATTAGGTAATCTTCCTGATCTTAGGTTAAAGTTAGGGCCTGGATCTAGAGAAATGGGTCAACAGTTAGGAACACTTCCAGAGGACCTGCATTCATGTCCCAGCAATACACGGAGGCTTACAACGGCCATAACTCCAGTATCAAGGGATCCAACACCCTCTCCTGACCTCCCTGCAAGCAAAACACTCTGCACATGGAAAAGAAAAACGTAGATTCAGAAAATAGTGTCATATTTTAACTTCTACCTAATTACCATGGTAAAGTGTTTCTCAGGCCTCTGCTTTAACTTAAAGGGTTAGGAGAATGACATTGTTATCTGGTGTTTGTTGAGCTGAATCTTTCACTTTCTCAAAAACAAATAACATTTTGTATTTTCATATCCATAAAAAATTTATAAGAAATTAAGGTGTTGCCATTGCTCTGTAATAAGATTATGACTTCCTGTGTTTTTCTTACATATTCTAAAATTTCTAAGGTCAATTTTATGACAATAATTTATTGAATGAGGAAATATATTTTGAAAAAAATCACATAAGTATTGGAATTTAATCTAATTTGGGTAGCATTTTCCATAATATTTAAATTATTTCTAGTAAAAGTGTCAGTAGAAGAACTGCTATAAAACCTAATTTAAAATGCTAAAGGTTTGAATATTTAAGCTGCTCCTGAAACTATGTCTTCTAGGTTAGCTGTGACACTTAGTGCTGTCAGTTAGCAAAAGGCAGAGGGATTGCATTTTGGGTACAGTCCTCCACAAGGAGACCAAAGCTCTGGTATAGTTACTGTCCAGTAGTAGTTCAAAGGGATTACTAGAAAATCATAGTGGCTCAACCTTAATGTGTCACTGTTAGTAGTGTCTGTCAAGCTACCAACAGCTGGTGTGCCTGCAGAGTTCTGGATGGTTCACCTCCATCTAAAAGTCAACACATCCTATCATCTATGAATAAACTTTCCAACTACCAGAATATTTTGTATATAAATTTGTACTTTGAGTACAAATATTTTTAATAGAGATCTCAAAATTTGAAACCAAATCTAATTTTTCATAGTCAAACTTATTTTGAGAGTTCGCATATGAAGTCCTGTCTGGCAGCCTGCCTCTACCTCCCAGTGCTGGGACTAAAGGTATGTGCCATGCCCTGCTAGCTTTCTGTATTTTTTAAGGATTTTGACAGTTTCATACATTTATATAATGGATTTTAGTTGTTCTCGAGACCCATTCCCCTCCTCCACTGGAACCCGTCTTAATAAGACCCTCCCTACCTTCATACGTCTCCCTCTTTTGAGTTTAGTTTCTTGCTCAAGCAAGTGGGAGGTTACTTACTAGAGCAAGGGCAACTTATTAGTGTTTACACCACTGGAGAAAATTATACCTTCTCCAACACTGTTGATTGCCAGTAGTCCTTCAGGGAGGCATGGGGCTTCAATAGGTCCCCTCCCTGGTCCACAGTAAAATGTTGCTGGACCAGTCCTGTGCAGATAAACCAGAGTCGCTGTGAGTTCATGAGTGTGACGGCTATGCCATGTCCACAAGTCATCTTTTTGCTTTGACTCTGTCCATCCTCGGGCTTTTAACAGTCTTTCTACCCTCTCTTTCATGATGTTCTGTGACCCTTGAAGGAGGTGGCACTGGCTGTTCCATTTGGGACTGAGCGCACACACCACTATCACTTATTCTTAGCATTTTGGCATTTAATGAGTTTCTACGTTAACCTCTGTCCTCTGCTCTAAGCTTCTCTGGTGAAGGCTGGGAGCAGCACTAATATATAGCTATGAACAAGAGTCTTTATAAGCCAGTTTGACAACATGACCACAATGTAGTAAAACAATAGGATCTGTGACCTCCCTAGCCATGGGCTCCTGACCAGGTTTACAGAACTAGGCACAATTTCCCTCTTGTACAGTAGGCCTCAAACCAGCAGTTGGTATGCCCCAAACAGTCAGGGCGCTATTTCATAGGTTGGCACATCTTGCCTGGTAGGTCATTATGCACTCAGGATTTATAGCTGAGTAACACCATTAATGACTTTTCTTCCCCAGCAGCCTGCATAGCACATTCTTGCAGTAGGGAAGAATCTTCCAAATCAGCTCCAGCCCGATTCTCTCTGTCTTATGACCAGAGTGTGTGATATCTCCAGCAATGGTCTTAATCAGATTCATGTAGGCAACCAGGATCAATATCAATGACCTTGAAATGTTTGAGCTCCCTCCCCTGCCCCCAGTCAAACTCAGAGGAGAGGTATCCCATATGTGGCACTGAGATTTTTACTTAATAATCTTAATAGCTTTTGGAGGAACATTATCCATTCATAGAGGATACCTTTGACCAAACTTTCTTCTCTTTTTTAAAATGACCTCATAAAACTAGTACCCATATGGGTTTTCTATATGTCCTTAGTTTGGGTTACCCTTCCCTGTGTGCCACCTTCCTCTTCCCTGTTCCCCCATGTCCTCTCCCTGCTCAGACCTCCTTATTCCCCCATGCCCTCTCCCTGCTCAGACCTTCTTATCCCTAGTAACCCCACTTAACTTTCATGCTCATTGTGGCCAATCCTCCTCTTTCACACACACACACACACACACACACACACACACACACACACACACACACACACACACACACACACACACACACACACACACAGCCCTACACCTCTCTACCTCTTTCTGACCTTTACCAAGGCTCAATATTAAGCATGCTGTTCTAAATTCCTAATTAGAATCTTCATACAAGGGAGAACCCACAGTGTTCATCTTTCTGGACCTGGATAATAGTTCTCAGATCCATCCATTTTTTTTTTCTGAAAGTTTATTTTATTCTTTACCACTGAATAAAGTTTGTGTGTATATTACATTTTCATTATCAATTCTTCATTCATTGACATCTAAGCTGGTTCCATTTCCTCTATGTTATAAACAGAACTGCAATGAACATGGACCTACAAGTACCTCTGCTGGAGGGTATGGAATCCTTTGAGTATGTGTCCAGCTGGGTCATATGGCACAATTCTATTTTTAGGTCTTTGATACACTGACACTGATCTTCATAGTGGCTGCACCCATTTTACACTCCCACCAACAGTACATAAGTTTTCCTTTCCCACAACACTGCCAGCATTTGGCATCATTTGCTCTTGATAATAGCTGTTCTGACTTTGAATAAGATGTTGAATGAACACTTAAAGTACTTATTAACTATTTGTGTTTCTTGATGACTCTCTGTTCAGTTCCCTAGACCACTGTTTTAATCAGGTTGTTTCTGGTTTTTATTTTTAGCTCTTTAAATTCTGTATATATTCTATATACAACAATTCTCTATCAGATTTCTGGCAAAGATTTTCTTCCATTCCTTAGACTGCCACTTCACTTGATTAACAGTGTCTTCTGTTGGCCTTATTTCCTGAGCAACTGGAGTCTGCTACAGACACTCATAACTTAATCCTATATCTAGTTTACTCCGAACTTTATCCTCTAGTAGTTCAGAATTCCAGGTTTAACTCTCAAGGCTTCACTATATTTGGAATTGATTTTTGTGCAGGGAGAGAGATAAAATTCAAATTTCATTCTTCTGTATGTGGATACCCAGTTTTCTCAGCCCATTTGTTGAAGATGCTGTCCTTTCTCCAGTGTGTATTTGTGGCATCTTTCTCAAATCAAAAATCAGGTGGCTGTAATTATGTAGCCTTATATCTGGGTCCTCTGTTGTATTCTGTTCATCTATGTATATTTTTGTATCAGTATCATGTGCTTTTATACTACAGTAAATAATCTATTTTTTAAAGGGTGGTGGTGGTGGTAGCATACACCTTTAATCCCAGCACTCCAGAGGCAAAGACAAGAGGCTCTCTGAGATTGAGGACAGCCTGGTTTACAGAGAGAATTCCTGGACAGCAAGTGCTACACAGAGAAAACCCTGTCTCAAAACGAACAAATGAAAACAAAAAAGGCATAAAATTTTTTAAAGAAAATTCAAAAATTAAAATGTCTTTTCCTAGTGTTACATTTCTCTTAAAATACAGCATTTTAAAACAATAATGAAAGGTTCATACACCTGATATACTTATTCTATAACATGATTTTATTCACTTTCCCATGTCACTAGATAATCTACTATAAAGGATGTGCCACAATTTACAACAGAGTACCCTAATTTAGGGGATGATTTTGGCTGTAGTGTTAACTACAGGTAGATGGGCCTAAAAGCTTGTGAGTAGTTAGTAAGTAACCTTGTATAAAATCTTAAGGTGATGTATGGTCTCTATCATTTTCCTTTAGAGCACCCTACATATAAAGATAATGTGGTAAGAGTCCATCAGAACAAATACTTTGTGGCTTTTAAAATGGAAAACATTTATTAACATTGAAGCTCCCATCATACAAGGCCATATAAAAAGTCTTAGCATTCTGATTATATTTAAGTATATTTTCATAGTTACAGTGTTATACAATTTAGCTTTTCATAATACATTGCCTCAATACATTAGTTCTGTTAAGCAAAAGCACTTATTTTCAAACCCAATACATGAACGATTTCCTCTGCACATGGTTCAGCAGGGCTAACTAGCATAAGATGCTCTTTATGAAGAGGTATATGATTTCAGTATTAACAGTTGCTGAAATTTGGTATTTTTATGCAGCATTTTTTTATTGCAACACAAAAGGATACTGAAATATGGAAAAGTAAGGTACAGAGATGTTCCTGTGGAATCAAACTCATAACACTATACTGTTTTAAAAACCCTAAAATGAAATATTTGAAGTCTACACTAGACATTTCTTATGAGGAAAAAATATTTGGGAATAGGAAAGAAAATGACATCTTTTAGTTTCTCTGTGGTTCTAGGAGGAAAAATCCTAAATTCCCCGTTGTCCCTCACTACTCATGAGAGGGAATATCAGAGCAGATACGTACCAACCCAACAGTTCTAGGCAACTTTATGGAAGTGGAAGTTGTTTTAGCTCATGCTAGATGACCATAGCAGACTTCGTGTGGAAGACAGTGGCATATTGTGATCTAGGTCTTCATTTCAAGCTATATTGAGGATTTTAAAAGTGTCTTGGCTACATTTCATCATTCCCAGAGAGCTAATTTGATGCCTGAAGTACAGCACCAGTGTGTTACTTGTTAGTGAAATGGATGTATACTATTGGAGATAAGTGTCATAGATCAAATAGCCTATTTCAGGAACGTGATTACACTAGAAAATTAAAAAATAAGTTATTTCTACAGAAACCTCTAAGAGAGCAGAAAAACCAAATCATATACCTAAATAAACATTTTAAAGGGAAATAAACCAACCACCTGAAAGTCACACAGTATTTGCTATGTTGTAATCCTGTTCACCATTGGGCTGCAGCTGGACCACAACACTGTGTTCAGTAATTTCATTGTCTGCATCACTGCTGTCGGTCTCATTGTCATCTTCCTCGTAGTCTGAAGACTCTGTCATGTTCTGATGTGAGTGGGATTCTGACAAAGACCCAAATGACTGGGTCCTGACAGAAGCTGAAGGTGGGAGTAAAGGGGTATGCTCTGACACTTCATTTTCTTCCTGACTGCTGTCTGTGTCAGAGTCCGAATCACCTTGGGAAGGAACAACTTTTTGTTTGCAGACTGGACAGGTTTTTTTGGTTTTAGTTAGCCAGGGATCTACACACTTGCAGTGATAAGCTGTTGAAGCAAAATATACATCTTCAGTACAACAATTCTGTTAACCAAAGCACTAATTTTCAAATTCAATACTTGATTTGGTTCGTCAGGGCATAAGACGCTTTTTATGAAGAGGTATATGATCTCAGTATTAACAGTTGCTGAAATTTGGTATTTTTATGCAATATTTTCTATTTATCACAACACAAAAAGATGATACTGAAATATGGAAAGTAAATCCAGACATTCCTGTTGAATCAGTCATGCCTAACACTACAGTATTAAGATACTGTTACTTTTAAGTTCTTGCAGTGTTCATTTAGTGTGATTTGTATACTTTGTGTACACACATAAAAGGTTAGTACATTTTTAGAATCACATCTGTCCATTAGTTTTGTATTTCGGTGTCTTCTCCCTTGATACAGAACTCAAAATCAAATTATAAACTCAAGGCAGTATGTGATTTACTCATACCATGGGAACAGGGAAGGATCCTTAGCTTATCTCCATCCTCATATTCCTCCAAACAAATAGCACATACATCGTACTCATCTCCTGTAACAGAAAATTGCAAATAAAAATATGTAGACTTCAGCATTACTTAAGCATTCAAATGTTCTGAAATATTCTAAAGAACAAAATTTCACCAAACTTCTCAAATTCTGAGTCATTTTTGTGGCTGATGGTAGGATTGGATTAAGGTATTCTAGCAGATTTACCACCACCCCACATCCCTACCCAACCCCACCTTGACACAAAAGCAAATCAAAACATTCAAATACTTGCAATATGTTAATTAAAACAGATTTGAAGTGGTTTTGGTTTCAAATAAACTAATGGCCAGGGAAACGGTATCCACTACATGGCTACTTAACAGTAATACAATTGCTATTTTGTTTTACTCTTGTTAACTGCCTAATAGTACTTAGTTTCCTTAATTCAAAGCTCTTCTCAGATCCAAAGGATACAGTTTTAAAGGAAGCAAGGAAGCATTCTTTTAAATACAGGTGCTTTGGGTGGGGGGGATGTTAAAAATACTTTGTTACCTCTGACTGCTTTAGTTCAGTGTTTTCCAGTTACTTTAAAAATAACCTTAGGAAACAAAAGAGGGTTGCATTTCCTGACTACACAGGTGTAAAGAGGGTTTCACTGCCTGACATACATACATACACACACACACACACACACACACACACACACACACACACACACACACTGAGGAAAAACACATAAAATTAAGTACGTATTAAGAATAAGGAGAAGCTGGCGTTGGTGGCGCACGCCTTTAATCCCAGCACTTGGGAGGCAGAGGCAGGGGGATCTCTGTGTGAGTTCGAGACCAGCCTGGTCTACCAGAGCTAGGTCCAGGACAGCCTCCAAAACCACAGAGAAACCCTGTCTTGAAAAACCAAAAAAAAAACCTTTTTTAAAAAAAAAAAAAAAAAAAAAAAAAAAAAAAAAAAAAAGAATAAGGAGAAAAAGAAGTTGTTGGGAGCTAGTGGCATGGCTCAGTAGCTAAATGCACTTGCCACCAAGCCCTGGACCTGAGTTTGGTCTGCAAGCTCACATGGTGGAAGGAGGGTATCAACTCTTCCAAGTTGCCCTCTGACCTTTACATGTGTCTTGTGATGCCTGTACTCCCCCCCCCACCATAAACAAATAAGAAAATAAATTAAAAAGGCAGAAAAAAGGAGGTTTTTCATCTTTTCAGCAATGACCTTGGAACTAGAATATGGCTTTAGTGGATCTGCTGAGCTTCATGGCAGAATCTAATCTATATAAGGTAGAAGGGGCTCTGGTAGATCTTAATTGCAGGCTAGCCTGTAAAGTGAATTTAAAGTCCTACAGCAATCCTACAGAGGAGCCGAGAAGGGCAAAACAAACAATGGGGTCTATCTGGGCCCTTCAGAAGATCAGTGTGGCAAATGACCTGTCTCTGGAGTTCCTGAACAAAACATTAACAGAGAGACAAATGCTGTCTTAGTTTCTGGAAGGGGGAAGACTGTTGCCTGAGCAACAGTTCAGAGAAACTATAAATGATAAAAATAGTGCAAATTAAAAGGATTAAGCTTGCCCTAGGAGGTGTACAGTTATTTATACATGCATCTCTCTCTCTCTCTCTCTCTCTCTCTCTCTCTCTCTCTCTCTCTCTCTTTCTCTTTTTCTCTCTCTCTCTTTCTCTCTCTCCCCATAGTACTCTGTGTACATTTCTTCTCCAGTTTAAAAAGTATATTGGGGTTGGAGGTTTATCACCCAGACTGGGGCTTTCAGCAACCAGTTGTGCCAATGAAAATGAAAGGGACAGTGCTAGCTTGAGTTTATCAGAACTGGGGAGCCAACTCCTGGCAGGCCCAGGAGACTGTTGTTCTTGCTTCCCCTTGGGCCTGATCCAGGCTAAGCACCACAAACTGGCCTCTCCAAGACTGCTGGGTATTAAGGAAGATGCACAGATGTAGCAACACACCAAGAATAAGACTACCAAATGGCTCATGGAAAATGACTGTGGGTTACAGAGAGTTGGATGGATTAGTGCCCCATCTAGGCTGCTGTACAAAGCACTGCTCTTCTGACAACACTGTCGATACAAGTGAGGATCTTTTCATGCAGTACTGGACCTTGTGAACGCTTTTTCAATAGCAGTCCAAGACAGCAGAAGGCCTTCAGAGACCTTGCCCACCTTCTGTAAATGCTAACCCATGTGTGTCTTACAGATATGGGGAGGTACTTGGAAGAATGGTAAAACTATCACTATTCAAGTGTTTGAATGACATCACTGTGCATGGGTAGGAAAAGATATTCTCAGGAGCCATAAGGTTGCTAGGTAAAAACTTAAGTCCCAGGAGTAGGTTGCCTTCCTATGACTTGTTGGCAAACACTCTACAAACCATAGGTTATTCTAACTGCTGTTGGCTGCACACCAGAGCTAGATGGTAAGACCCTATTTCTTATATTTTTGGTTGTAAGCCTAGTCTTTAAAGGCTGAGATATCCCTCCAGCCCGTAAGACCCTATTTGGCTGTAGAACATAGAGAAATGAGACTGAGACCAAGTCTCCTCCTTTTATAATATAATATCAGACTATGTACATTCCTAGGGAAGAACTGTTGCTAAAAGTCCCCTCCTTTTACAATATAATATCAGACTGTGTGCATTCCTAGGGAAGAATTGTTGCTAATAATTCTGTTCAGATATGGATACTGTGTGCTGTGCTAACACACCAGACAAGCTGAGCATACTGGTACAACAGTAGCATAATGGGTACAACAACTAACTGCTTTTTAAAATTAGATTTATAACCTACTACATAGGACAGAATCCATGATTGGTATTCTAAAACAAACAACAGCAGCAGCAGCAGCAACAACAACAACAACAACACACACACACAACAACAACAACAACAACACACACACAACAACAACAACAACACACACACACACACACACACACACACACACACACACACACACACACACAGAGGACCTCTGGACAAGCAGCCAGTGTTTTTAACCTCCCCAGCCCGCTTATGACGGCACACATCAGTAGGGTTTGCTAAAGGATGCAGAGCAGATGAAACGTAATGCCTTCTAATTTTGGATACACCTGGAAGATGGGATGCAGTCAGTTTATTGATGGACTATAAGTAGGGAAAGGAAGGAGGCTGCTCTTTTGTTTGTTTCAGAAAAAGGGCAAACAGACTCTTGTCTGTTTTATTTAATTTTTGAAATAATGAAAGGAAGGAAGAGAAGGAAGAAGAGGAAGAGTTTAACTACAGATACTCTGCATGGGTGGACAATGCTTCCCCTAGAAGGCATCAATTATTAAATAAAACTCTTCGCTAGAAGTGGGAGACCTCTCTGAGTTATTGGTCAGGGAGGCCCAGAGGCCCTCACAAACAACATGGGCTATTTCCATTGCTCTTGGCTACTTAACAGAACTAGACAGTAAGTACATAAAAAGTCAAGTTGAACTGACCTGGAAACATCCTCCTAGACTATTACCTCTTATAGTGGCATAAGGTGCTATACAGTCATTAATAATCTCCCCTAGTGGTGGAGCCTGCATGTGACAATGCTGACCTGCTACGCAAGATGTGTCTACTGGTAAAATAGTGGTATATCCATAAAGGAGAAAAATAACCACTTTTGTATTGGGTTAGAGGCCAGCTCCCCAGGAAGGAATTCATGCCTGGTACTGCAAACTTGGTCAGCTGCTTAGGAGGTCAGAGGCCCTAGTGGGGATCCTAATACTGTTGTCTTGCTAAACAGACAGGTTACCAAACTGCCTTCTAAATACTGATGTTTATTTGTGCAGATCAGTGCTGTCCTCAACCTTGAGAAGTTTCTCTCTGGTCAATGTTAAGTGCAGGTTTGTAACTGATCAAAGTGCTGTGTATAAGTGAATAAGTGTTTAGTCCTAAATGAGACATTTATATAAACTCCTGCCTATTCCCCAAGGCTCAGAAAATATCTTGGAAGAGGGGACAGATAGATAGCATATATGAGCCAGAGAATGGGGGAAGAGAACTGTCTTCTGAACATGACATGGACTCTGTTTTCAGGAACTTATACAGCTATAGTTATCACACAAGAGCAAACCAATAAGGACCAGTCAACATTCCAACAGGTAGCACTAATCAGAGTCAGTGGGTTTTAAAGGGGGGGGGCATGATGGACAGATGCGCATGTTGGGGTGCCTTGGAGATTCGAGTGGGAGTAGAGGGGTACATACAATCAAGATAATTGCTTACCTATATGAAATTCTCAAAGACAAGATATTCCTCTTTTTAAAAGACTATTCAATAAGACTATTCTTTTCAACAAATGATACTGGACAACTGGATTTCCATATTCCAAAAATAAAGCTGGAGCCCTACTTTAGACCAAATACAAAAATTAAATAACTTTATGTGAATTATCAAGATGGGGGGTTTAAGTTGGGCTTTGGTTTTTATACAATAAATTCAGACTTATGCAATAAAATCAAGAATATAGTCTTGTGAAAATATAAGTCACGAGCTAACAAATGTTTATGTTTTTAACATAAAACATGTAAAACCAGTGAAGAGCTGATCTGCCTGCCAAACAATCCCAGAAGAGGCTGTTGAGAATATGTAAAAATTCTTGCTACCCGTGGACTATCAAGCCTATTTCTAACTTGGGATCATTCTCAAACAAGATTCTGTTTGCCCTTTTTCTGAAACAAACAAACAAAAGAGCAGCCTCCTTCCTTTCCCTACTTATAGTCCATCAATAAACTGACTGCATCCCATCTTCCAGGTGTATCCAAAATTAGAAGGCATTACCTCCCTAATGGTGACCCAAGCACATTTATAATTAATGCAGTAACTTACTATCTGCTATTTATTTACACCCTTTTACCCTCTACAGCCTATTATTAATGCAACAAGAAAAAAAGAACTTTTTGTTTTGTTTTGTGTTTTTTTGAGACAGGATCTTGCTATGTACCCTTGGCCTGGAACTCATTGTATAGACCAGACTGGCCTTGAACTCATCTAGATCTGCCAGCCCCTGCTCAAAAATCCTACAACGGCTATTCATCTTAGAGGAAAGTGCAACTTGCAAACCCGTTTTAAACCGTTTTAACCCAAGGTAGTCTCAATAACCTCCTCCTTCTTCATTGTGTGTGTGTGTACACATGTGTGCAAACTTGCACACTTGTAGTTAATTCTCCCCATCCACCACATAAATACTAGGGATCAAACTCAGGTCATCAGACTTGGCAGCAAGCACCTTTGCCAGCGCTCAACATCATCTTTTTAAAAAATATTTTGATTTAAGAAAAAAACAAAAAAACAAAAACTTTTTAACTAGTTCCTAGCACTGAAAGGGGAAAATGGATATGGGCTCCCACCTCTGACTACAATTAACATCCACCTGTAAAGGAAAAAATAGTTTTCTTCAATGGAATCTCACTGGATATATTAACCACACTTAAGGATAGGCCTCATGCCCAGAGGTATTTTTGTGGACTGATCATATTGCTTTGTTTGGATATTTTTGTCTCACTGGTTTTGTGCTTATATATTTTGGTTTCCATTTTTTTGTGTTTTTGAGTTTGTGTTTCTTGGGGTTTTGTTCTTGTTTAAAGAAAGAAAGGGCATGGAGTTGGGTCAGTGGGGAGGTGGGAGAATCTGAGAGAAATTGGAGGAGGGAAAAGCATGATCACAATATATTGTATGAAAAAGATTATCTCATATTATTCAAGAAAAAAGTCTTTAAACTAGGGATTAAGAAATATGAAACTAAGACTACAACCTGGAGCTTTAAATGGAATTCCATTTAAACAGGTCACCTTTCATATGGGGTCTGATCTGTAAAGAACTTCTAGACAGCTCACCTCACATGCTAGTAGTTTTATAGCATCTATGTCCTTTTTAAAATTGAAATATGATGTTTTCTCCATTTTTCTTATTGTTACATTTTTAGCAAGATAAAATTATAAATGGCAATAAAACATTTAGCTATAAGGAAAATGAAATTTTGCTTTTTATTTATTAACCATTCACTCATTTATTTTATGTATATGGGCATATTGTGTCTGTATGTATGTGTGATGCCCGGTGCCTGTGAAATCCACAGAGAGTGTTGGGGTCCCAGGGACTGGAGTCACAGATGGTTTTAAGCTACCAAGTGGGTCCTAGGATTGAATCCCAGTTCTTTGGAAGAGAAGCCAATGCTCTTAACCACTAAGCCATCTACCCATTCCCCAGAACTATGTTTTAATGCCTTTTCTATTTTCACCTTCTGTTCCTTACACTCTAAACAAAACATTTTATTGGTATATAAAAAAAAGTCTAGGAAGTACTAGCCCAAAGGATTAACAAGTATATACCCACATTAGAGGCTCACAAAGCACAGAGAAGGGAACTATATTGGCTGTAGTATAAAACTTAGACTCCTATCCAGCTCTGTCAATAGAGTCCAAGCCTCAGAGAAGTTCTATTTCCTTGAGTATAATGGAAGGATAATGATAGCACCCATTTCATATTAATGTGAAAATAAAATGACATGCAAAATGCAAACACGTAATAGCTACCTATCGTTTTAACAGCACACTGTAGTAGCATACAACATAGCAGGTAAGAGCATAGGAGGAAGGTCAGCTAGGGCAGACTACCGTGGAGCAAGGAAGTATATTTTTTTCTCTGACACTGTCTAGAACTACTGGCATATGGTGGTAGCAATATTTTTTTTTTCCATTTTCACTATTACTTTTAAGCTTTCTGCCAAACCTATCCCCTCTTCCTGTCTTTAGCAAGCTACCAGAGAATAAAAGTATCTCTCATAAACATTCAGTACTAATGTTAGTTAATGTTGGACATGGTATATAGCCGAGATTCAGAATGAAACATAAGCATGGTCATTATGTATTCTGAAACACATAAACGTCATTATTCAGAAAACAATATTCACTTACCCTTCTTGAATTTATGTACAGGGAGTTTTTTAAGTTGATCTTTACGAAGTCTGTTTCTTCTGTTTCTATGTCTGTCCTGGACAAATTTTGTGATCTAAGATTTAAAAAAGGGGAGTCGGGGTAGGCAAGTCAGATACAATTAGAAAATTGGCACTGAAATAAAATACACTTTTTAATGTATAAGAGTCCTCCATCTGCATGTATGCCTTTATGCCAGAAGAGAGCATCAGACCCCCACCATAGATGGTTGTGAGCCACTATGTAATTGCTGGGAATTGAACTCAGGACCTCTGGAAGAACAGTGTTCTTAACGAATGAGCCATCTCTCTACTGCAGCTTCCATAATGAGATTTTTCCCTTTCTCCTCCTCTCTTTTTTCTCTTAAATTTTATTTTTTTTTGGGGGGGGGTGATGATCTTGGGAGGTATGATGAAAAAGACACAAAGAATCAAATAAGTAAAAATCCTAACAATGAACCCAGAAGTGACAGTTTGAGGGGAAAAAAATCTTTTAAATTTCTGGATACCTACTATAAAACCAATTCAATTTATTCAATCCTAATGACGACATTATTATTAAGTTAACAGTGATTAGATAACTTACACATTATTCTTTGAATTTCTTATTAATGAATTTTATGTCCTTAAAATTATGACATTTGTTTACTTATATATCTGTTCTGCATGTGTGTGAGCATACATGCATGTTCCAACATGAACACGTGGAAGTCAGAGGACATCTTGGAGGACAGGTTTCTCTCCTTCTACCACTGGGTCCCAGGAATCGAACTCAGGTCATCAGGCTTGGCAGCAAGCCTTATTCTATGACCTTTTGCCAGCCCAAACTTTACCCTTCATTTACTGATAATGACACTATAAATAGTCTATTAGTATTGTTTGCAAAAATACAAATAGTAGGCTACAGATTATGAATACTTTCATTGGTCAGAAACAATGGGAATTTGGAGCTGGAGAGGTGGCTCAATGGTTAACAGTACTTGCAGCTCTTACAGAGGACCCAGTTTCAGTTCCCAGCACCCAAACGGAGGCTTACATCCACCTATAACTCCAGTTCCAGAGGATCCAATGCCCTCTTCTGGTATCCATGAGCATCTGGCAAACTAGAACACAATACAACTCAGAAAGAAAAAGAATGAATAATCAACATACTCAATAATTTACATAAATCTCAAAAATATGCCAAAAGATGACACAAAAGACCACATAGTTCATAATTCCATTAGTAAAAACCTACTGTAAACAAATTGTAGTGAATAAAATCAGGTTTGTGGTCATGAGAGTCAAAAGAGACATAAAATTGAAAAGGATTGCCAAGGAGAGTAGGAAAATATTTCAAGGTGATGGTTATCTCATTATCTTGACTGTAATAGTGACATTTTTATACTTGTATGTATTTGAGCACATATATATGTAATTATATTAAGCGGTAAAAATTATCAAGGCATACAACTTAAGTATGTGTGGTTTATTTTATGTCAACTATACCCTTAATATTTTAAATAATCATTAAAACATTAAAATTAACAATATGAGATACCAGGCTAGGCATATAACTCAGTAGTAGAGTGGTTGACTAGTTTATACAAGGCTCTTGCTTCTAATAAGAAAAAAACTCCAGCAATATTATATAAGCTTTTAAACCAATGAGAAAAAGAAAGTAAAACTTATGCAATTCAAATTTACATAAAGAAAGCTGAATAACATGCAGTCATTAATCCAAATGTGTAGGAGTACAATAGATGTAAATGGAATAAGTCCATCAATTTTAAGAGAATATATAATAAGAAAAATCCAATTTTATGCTATTTACAATATATTATTAAAACTGAATGACACCTTAAAGTTTAAGAAGGGGGGTACAGATATGCCATAAGCAAATTAAAATAAAAATACTGAATAGTAAAAAGAATATTTCATTAGGAATATGCTGAAAACTATGGGACAATATGTAAATTCCAAACCTTAGGGTTTGCATCTAAATCAAACACAAACATTTCAATAGTAGAGCTTCACTAGCTCTCACTGTGTGTCACAAACTAGCCCTTCCAAGTGAGGGTGTGCCTGAGAATAGACACACAGTGGTCAGCAAGATGAAGTACTGAGAGATAAAAACCACAGTTATATATGTGCACTGACGCCTCAAACATTTTAAACTTAAACATAAGTATTCAAATTAACCTCACTTGTTTCTTCTTTGCTGAATTTGGCTACCAGAGTGTTCTATTGCTTAGCATTGTTTTAGAAAACCTAAGAATGCAAAACTACAGACAACTATAGTAAAAGTTGCACAATTTTGTGAACACACTGAAATCATTAAATTGTGCATTTTAAATAAGTTATTTTATGCTATAGGAATTAATATTTTTTAAGTTAGACAAGTTCACAAACTTAAATTAAAGGACATGTATGTAACTTGGCATTCTCCACATAATGTGAATAACATTTATAAAAATTTGACTACAAAAGGATGCCACAGAGCAGGTGTTTGAAAATTACATAAGAATTAATAACACATTTTCTGACCATAATACAACTAAATTAGAAATATATATGAAAGGACACAGAAAAATACATGCCTGCAATTTAAAACATTAATAAAGTAATCTATGAACCACAAAACAACTCACAATGGGTAACAGGTTTCTGGTGAAGCCTCTTTACAACCTAGAATCTCAGCAATACAGAAAAGACCATGAATTATGGAGGAAGGTGAAACACTACCTCAATGGAGAAAGAAAGCCTTTTACTGAGCTATAGAATTAGACAACCTTAACCACTCAAATATCTGACGGCAGCTTTGAGATGCTGTGGGCTACCACAGAACCAACCCTGGGGAGCTGAACACCAGCTGCAGCTGATGGGAGGCTGGAGTATAGCCAAGTATGCCTATGTATTTCCCCAAATGTTCCACAGGGATACTATTCTAAAGAACAGAGCAAGGCTGGAGTTGAATTCCCTTCACATGGAAGGAAAAACCAAAACAAAGAGAAATGTCTTACACCGGGATGAAGCTTTAAATAAGTTGTGCAGCCTAGTCCCAGTCCCAGTGGATATATCTATACACACTCCCTCAGGGAACACTGCAGAGGAGGGGACAGAAAGATTTTAAGAGCCCAAGTATTAGGGAGTTTGCTGTGAGATTATGTTTCTTAGAAATGCCAGAAGGCACACCCATGAAGTCTCACCAAAACAACTGCCCAAATGTGAGCTGAACAAAGATGACAACAATGAATATACTGAACTGGATGAAGAAAAGCTCATGAGGCTACACAAAGAATTACAAGCAACTGAGGAAAGCTGGGAAAGTGGTCCTCCCTGGGGAAGGGCACACTGATTGGTTGTCTAATACCAAATAAACAGCCCCCAAAACATACATATTATGTAGCATTATATGGACTGAACAGGTTATATATAGGAATATATATTCACGAATATGTGTATACTTATATGCGTGCAATAACAATATTTTTAAAAAAAGAGAGACCATGAATTTGAAGAAAAGAAGGGAGGGATATACGGGAGGGTTTGGAAGAAGGAAAGGGAAAAATGTAATCAAATTATAATCTCAAAAATAAAATACAAATTTTTTTTCTGGGAACCTGCATGGGGCCAAACTAGACCCTCTGAATGTGGGTGACAGTTATGTGACTTGATTGGTTAGGGAGGTCCCAGGCAGTGGCGCCAGGACCTATCCCAGGGGTATGAACTGGCTTTTTGGAGCCCATTCCCTATGGTGGGATACCTTGCTCAGCCTTGATGGGGGGTGGGGTGGACCTTGCTCCTGCATCAGCTTGGTATGCCAGACTTTGTTGACTCCCCAGGAAGGCCTTTCCCCCTAATGAGGACTGGATGGAGGTGGGGAATTGGGGAGGTAGGGGTCCAAAAGAAGGGAAGAGAGGGGGAACTGGGGTTGGTATGTAAAATGATTACATACCAATTAAATTACCATTTACATACCAAATTAAAATAAAATAAAAAAAGAAGACTTGACCTAAATCCCCTAAGGGAGAAAGGTGTAAATAAGAGCAATAAAAAGACTTAAAAAAAAAAAAAAAAAAGGCTACTCTTCCTTCCCTTTCTGCCGACCGATCTGCAACTAGAGCCCTCATCCAGTGGCTGATGGAAGCAGAGACAGACATCCACAGAAATACACTGAGCTGAAATCTGGAATTTAGTTGAAGAGTGGAAGGAATGAAGGGGTCTGTACCAGGTTGGAGAAACCCACAGAAACAGTTGGCCTGAACAAGGGAGAGCACATCGACCCCAGATGCTGTCTGGGAGGCCAGTACAAGACTGATCCAGACCCCTGAACATGGATGTCAATAAGGAGGCCTCTACACTCCAGGGAGCCTCTGGTAGTGGATTAGTATTTTTCCCTGGTGTAAGAAGGGACTTTGAAAGCCCATCCCACATGAAGGGGGATACACTCTGGCCCTGGACACATGGGGAAGGGCCCAGGCACAGCACAGGAAGATTTGGTAGAAATTTAAAAATTAAATAAAAAGCGTTACATCAAAAAAAGAGAGATATCCTAATCAAATTATTAAAACCCAAAGATAAAGAGAAAAAATCTTTAAATTAGCTAAGGCAAAAGACATCTCAAACAGGCATGAAGCACCACAAATGATAGCTTATTTCTCACCAGAAAAAAAAGTCAAGAAGATAATGGGATGACATATTTAAAATCCTAAAAAAAAGTTAGTACAAACATTGTTGTATATACAACACTTGGGAGAATCTGTCACCAATAAACTTGTAATAAAAAGAGAATTAAAGGGAATAGCAGTATACAGAACTGTCAGTCTATAGCAAGGAATTAAAAACACAATACGTAATAAATGTATTTTAGAGTGTTTTGGTTTGGATCTTAAATGCACCACAAAGGCTCATGTGTTGAACATCTGGGCCCCAATGCATTGAGAGAGAGTGTCTTTGGGAGGTGATTGACTAATGAATAACTCTGTAGGTGACTGGGAGAAGGTAAGAAGCCTTAGAAGATGACCTTGAAATCGTTATTGTAGGTTGGATGGGGAAGCACCTAGATTATAAGCCACACCTTGGGATGTGTCTATGA